CCAAGATCTATCCGAGATATTTCTGCCAAGATCTATCCGAGATATTTCAGCAAAGATATCTAATGCACACTTTTCATTCTCTTCTTTAGCTTCCTTAGACTTTGCTGATGCCCTCATCTTTCTGCCACTCATGTACTTTCTGACACCATGTCTTGTTTTTTACTCATATTTGAAGTTCAGGAATTTCGGGTCCCTATAAGATGAAATGGAATAAATTAATATTAAATATAAATAAGTAATAAATATAATTAAAATGAAAACACAAAATACAGGGTGTCCCAAAATAAAGTATACACTCTTTGAATCGTTATAACTTATTCAGTTTATGTATTTTGACTTGTAAATAAGATTAATACAAGAGGAAGAATACACATTTAAAGAATTTGAGAGTGAAATATACAAAAAAACATATAAAATTAACTTTAATAAGATAAAAACTATTTGGGGCAATGGCAGAATGTTTATGTAATGATGAGTTCACATCAAGTGCTCAAACTGGTTGCCGTTCTGTTCAATACACTTTTCATATCTTGAAGAAATAGACCTACAAACGTCCAGTATCATTTCCTCTGGTATTTGAGCACATTCTTCTTCAATTGCTATTCTCATTTCAGCATTTGTTTCAGGTTTCCTGCTGTAAATTTTGTCTTTTAGAAACCCCAACAAAAAGAAATCCAAGTGTGTCAAATCTGGTGATCTAGGTGGGTATTCAACTGTCCCTCTTCTTCCAGTCCATCTGTTTTGCAGATTTTCATCCATATAAAAAATGTATTATTTACTATTAATATTTAAAGAGTGTATACATTATTTTGGGTCACCCTGTATATCTGATATTGTCAAAATGGCTAGAGTTATTGAAAGAAATTAACAGAAATATTGTAAGTCTTTTTACTATCTGTATTTTAAAAAATAATTTCAAATATACAGCGTGTTTCATAAAGTCGTATCATAAATAAGTCGTATCATAAATAAGTCGTATCATAAATAAGTCGTATCAATTTTAAAATAAAATTTGGTAATATTGTCAAAATCTGTCTAAATTTTAAAGTTGTGGCCTATTAATCCAATATTTGGTTTTTTCCATGTCTAAATAAAATCAAGTTTCTGTATTATTAATTTTATAATAACATTTTAAATATGATGTCAAATCAAAACATGCAATAAAAAATACAGTATACCATTTTAAAAAATCCAACATATGTCATATTTTTATGGAGCACCCTGTACATTTGACCTTTTACTTTCAAACACTTTTTTATAGAATGTATATTTTCGGAAATAACACTGGTCAACAAAGAAAAAATGTTTAAAATGGTGTCAAGACACCAAACACCTTTTTAAGCTAATTTGAGGGTTCTGAATCTGAAAATGACCTTACTTTTCCTTGGTTAGCTACCATTTTTGCTGTACAAAAATGCCTCATTTTTTGAAAAAAAAAGCTTTTTTTTTCCTTTGTTTTCTGTATATATGATATTCACCAATGACAATATTTCTCAAAATAAAATTATAGAAACCTATCAATTCATATTTAAACAAACAAATATTGGTCTGCTTATTGAGAAATACTGTTTTTGCTATAACACTCAGAATCTGAGTCTTTAAAAATAACACAATTGAATATACCAAGACCAACAAGTATTTTCATCAAATTATTTAATAAACTAGCAGCAGAAATAAAACCTTCATGAACATAAGAACTATGGTAAAAACTTTCTCTTTCTAGATTGTTATGTTCAATGTTATTTAAGTCCCTTTTAATACTTCAGCAGTAGTCAGCCAACATTCGTTTGTCTCACTGTCCCTGGTAGTGCTCTTTCATTGTTTTGATATCCTGATGGAATCATTCTCTGTGCTCATCACTCACATTGACACAATCATCCAGAAATTTATCTAGATGACTATGTAAAAAGTGAACTTTAATACTCATATTAGCATCTATGTCCTGTAGACTCTTTAACCGCTTTTCCACTAATTCCTTTTAGTTTTCACCCCAGTGATTGCCTTAGAAGTTTTTCACAGCATCAACAAACAATTAATTTATTTAAGTAAATGCTCTGTTTATAATAAATGGTATTAACAACATTTACCAGCCTGAATATCTGAGAAATTTCATAGAAATTCTGTCCTCCAACAGGAATTGAACCTGTATCCTACATGGAACCATCATATAGCCTGATGTGCATTTAGCTACAGAGGAAGCATCTAGTTACCAAGGTAAAAGCAGTAATTTGATCTTCTAATTATAATCATATATATATATATATATATATATATATATATATATATATAATGTGTGTGTATAAAAATAAAAGAAAGAACAGTAAGATATATGATTCGGTGTTCTTATAAATATTTTTATTTTTACAAAATAGTGCTCAATGTAAATTTAAAGAGCATTAATATTATAAATTAATTGATTTAAAATATGTTTTTTTCCGCTACACAGTTCTAACCATGTTTCAAAAAATAGAAGCTAAAAGCCCTGAATTTAATTTTGCAATTAAATTAAAAGCATTAGTTCCATTTTCATCCCTCAAGCGAATTTTGAGTAACTTTTAAAAATTACTGGGTTTAAAGACACAGCTAAAATCACGTTTCCATGGTTACAGAATATTCTACTTCAATTGGACAAGGGATGTCTAGGTTTTCCTTATGACAGTATCATTGTATCAGTTATTAGCTACAATTTGGTAAGGGGTAGGGATGTATTTTTCAATGAAAACTGACATCCAATGAATGCATGTCGTCTGAATTTTTTAAAAAAATTATTGATAACGGTAAAAAAATTTCTTAGGGCATTTTTTTACCATTTATAAATTTAAAGATTTTCGGGGGTGTTCAGATCATAATACTTTTTATGTAACTACGATTTGAAATATTCTCATTTTTTTAATTTTTATTATACTATATTCTTTTTAAGAAGTCTGTTAAATGTATTAGGAATCCACTATATTATGTAGGATTATTTAACATCAAGTTTAAGTTTGTATATGAAGTGTCTTTTTTTCTTTCTTTTTTTTTTTTTATGAAAAATTTATGACTATGACGGCAAAAATGGTTACTTAATTTCACTGATTTAGTAAACTTTTATTTTATATATAAACCTAGTAATATATTGTTTCTCATGTAAGTACAAAGGACATGGGTCATTCAGAAGCTTACATCTTATGGTATTTCATATTAATTTTATTTTGCTATAGGTGTTTTATTGGATTCTGTTCGTTTGCGTGTAGTACTAATTAAAAGAAGTTTAGGTTAGAATTCATTTTATTTAACTACAATTTTAAAATTACAACTTTTAAAATTTTAAAATATTTTCATTGTTAGTTTTAATAGACTATATTATTTTTATAACAGAAGGAATATTACTCATAGTAAGTAAAATTATTTTTTCCATATCAAAGTATGTGTAAAATTACGATTTTTAAAACTTTTATAATTACATATTATTTAAGTAATATTTATGGCACTTACTACAAAACTAGCTAAGTCATTTTCTCAGATTTAGTAAACTTTATTTATTAATTAATTAATTTATTTATTTTAAATATATATAACCTAAGTGATAAAGTTTCATATGTATGTACAAAGAACATGGGTCGTACACTACCCTACATCCTCTAGCTTTTGTTATAATTTCATTTTTCAGTAGGTGTTTTATTGGATTCATTTAAGTGCTGGTAGTACATTTATTATAGAGGTGTTTCTGGTTAGCATACAATTTATTTAACTACAATTTTTAAAAATGTTTAGGTTTGAATTCGTTTTAACTACAATTTTAAATACAAGTTTAAAATATTTTCACTGTTATTCCAATAGACTTTTTCCTTTTTTTTTTTTTTTTTTTTTTTTAAATATTATTTAAGGAAAATCTTTGACAATGACGGCATATAATAGCTATTTCATTTCTCTGATTCAGTAAATTTTAATTTTTTATAAACTTAGTAATATATAGTTTCTCGTGTATGCATAGAGGACAAGGGTCGTTTAATGACCTACAAATTCTAGCTTTTCTTATTAACTTCCATTTTACTGTAGGTATTTTTATTTGATTCTTTTAGATGCCAGAAGAAATTTATTTTGAGAGAGATGTTGATATTTTTTTTTATATCTATTTATTCTAAATGAAGTTTGATGTTGGTTGAATTTTTTTTGAATTCATGGCTAGTGCAACCTATATATATATATTTTTTATGTTATCAGGACTTTCAATGGAAGAGATATTGCATTGGTATACTAATGATTCAGTGCGACATTTATTTTGTTTGGGCAATTTTAAATATAAATAATATATATATATATATATATATATATAGTTTATATATATATTTGTATATATATCTACATTTTTATGTTTATATATTCTTTTTATTGATACAAATATTTAAGTAAATGTTCTGTTTATAATAAACAGTATTAAACAACATTTATTGGCCTGAATGTCTAAGAAATTTTCATAGAAAATATTCGTCCTCCGACAGGAATTGAACCTGTATCCTATACGAAACCGTCATATAGCCTGACATGCCTTTAACCAATTAGGCCACAGAGGATCGTTTGGTTAGCAAGGTCGATTTTACTGTCTTTAAACTACAATTTTCCATGATTCTTTCACGTACATTCATATCTGCTCATGGTGTATCCAAATGTAAACAAATAATAAATATATATAATGTGTTTGTGAATGTGCATAGAACAAAGACATTTGTGAAAACAGTACAGTTTTATAAAAAAAAAAATTAAACATTTTGTGATGTAAATCTGGCTGATTGGCTTTTCTTGTTAAGGTCTCAACATGTGGTGTAATATTTTTCCTTAGTGATTTATGCCTTAAAAACGGTCTTTAAGAGACCTGTAGAAAAAACAAATACCTTGAAAAACTTTTACACTAATTTCTTTCAACTATTTAAGTCTTGTTTTCCATTTACCAGTTGTGTAGACATTTCCTCGATATATCAATTATTTTATTTTATTTTTTTTGTTTAACTTGCATCTTGCAGGAACTCAAGCAGAACCTGTTCCAGACTAAAGAAGAAATGAGACAATTTGAGCTCAAGGCATCAGAACAGTTGCAACATGTTAGCCGAGTGGTGCACCAACAATTACAAAGTTCCAGATCTGAGTGTTCAACTGTATCAGGTATTTACAGCATTATTATAATATGAACAATATTTATGGCATTATTATAATATGGACCATTTCTCATAATAGCTGAGCTTCTTCAAAAAATTTAAGGAATCAATTTAGATCGATTGATTCATTTTCTACAGCTTATTAACCCTTTGCAGATTATTTAAAGTTAGATATTTTTAGATAAGATTTAAAAATTTTTTTTTTTTTTTTTTTTTTTTTTGGACAATAATGGTTTAATGATACAAGTATTACTAACTAACCCGTTTGGGGAGAGAAGTATTTGTGCATAATTGAATATAATGATTTACATTCTTTGGGCTGTTGTTCTCATCTTCGTTGCCTTATTCATGACATTTTGGCCATTGTATGCTCCAGCTTTCTTCAGGTAATTGGAATTTCGAACTGAACCATGTTGCATGCCACTTCGGAATGTCTCAGTATCAGTTATCTCCCTTTAAGTTCAACGTTAATTCTCCAAGTTTTTGTTCACCTCTTATGTAGCCAGGTATTGAACTTACAACTCTTTAGGTCAAGTCACTGGATTCAATCAACACTTTTATCCACTGAAGGACAATCAGTGTTTGAGTTTTTGGTACTTATAAACTTAATGTCTCAGTACCAATTTTAACCAAGCTCATATTACAATTTTGCTGTGGTTATTGTTTTTCTCTAGCACTCTTTATTACTGGTTCCCATATTGTATTCATTTCTATGCTTGGCCAGCTTAAGAGATTTCTGAGGCCTAGCATATGTGCTGACTCCTTAAGTTTTTGTATTTTCCAGTGATGTTCTTTGTCTATTATTTCAACCTCGTGCCACAGGGATGGTGATCACATTTTTCCCTCCATATGTGGTCAGCTACACCTGATTTTTCTACTTTCCCTTGTGTTATGGCTTTACAGTGTAACTGCAATCTTATCTACTCTCATAGACAAAATAAAGGGTTCACTTCAAAATTCCACTCACCTGAAGAAGGCCGCAGTGTATAACGGTCAAAACATTATGAATATGTCAATTAAGATGAGGACAAAAGTCTGAACAATGTAAATAGTGTAAATAATTACAATACCTCTTCTCAGAAATATAGACAGATATTGAATATAATGAACCTAATGGGAATTTGAACTTGCCTCTCTGATTTTCAATTCTGAGCCATTATCCATTACACCAACATATCCAGGCTTACTGAACCTGGTATTTCCAAGCGATCAAGTACTGCCCAGGATCAACATTGCTTAACTTTGGTGATCATATGGGAACTGATGTTTCAGTGTGCTGTGGTCATAAGCCAAACTCTTTAGAGAGGAGAATTTCATGAGAAGCTAAAATACAAGTGATGAAGTGTTATGCCTTGTCTCTGTTTTTCCTTTATGGCAGTGGATGGTCAACAAGTTCCATTTTGATGAAGAAGCGACTCAAAGTGACAGGATGTGGTTCCACAGGCAGGTGGGGAGAATACAAAGAAAAATGCTGAGCTGTTATGTAATATCAATCCTCCTATTTGGTAGTGAATGTTGGATGATTTTCTCACAGATGAAGAAGAGACAAAACAAGATGTGGTTCTACAGAATGATGCTAAGAATACCATGGATAGAGCATGTGAATAATGAGGAAGTTTTAAGAATATAGTAAAATAAAAGGACACTTAAAATCAGAAATAGGAAATTGGGGCATATAATAAGGAAAGAGGACATGGTGAATTTAACACTCTCAGGATATTTTGAAACAGTGAGTAATCTACTTAATGAGTTTATGTGAACAGATGGCCTTGGGAACAAGGAGAGATACAGGAAGTTGTGGAGAACCATGATCAGCAATATTCTGAAAAGACATGACATATAAAAGATGATGATTTATGAAAATAATGTAAAGAAATTTTAAACTTAAAGGACATTTTTTTTCTTTGCTGTTCTATGAAATTCATATGACATGACATTTTAATTGCAGATTGTAACTTGAAATTCATGAAAATTAGAATGTGTGTCTGAGAGTTTTGTTTTGTGTGAGATGTATGGACAGGTGGTTGATATCTAAGCCTGCTCCCCACCCCACTTAGCTTTTTCTAATGGTATAGAGGGTGGTATATTCACCTTGAAGGGAAAAAAACAAGACCTGTCAAAGTGTTGATGATCTTTTTATTGGAGCTAATGACACACACACACACACACACACATATATATATATATATATATATATATATATATATATATATATATATATATATATATATATATATATATATATAATTATTTATTTAAAAATATGATTCCATATTTAAATAAATAATTATATTTATGCTCTACTTTTGTATCAAGCACTATTTTTAAAAAATAATAACTAAAATACTAAGGGACTTTCGATTATTTACCTAACCAGTTCCTTCCTGTTTTCTATATATTTTCAAACACACATATATATATATATATATATATATATATATATATATATAAAGAAATGTGGGAAAATATATGATGAAAGGGAAAAAGTTTTCTTGTGACATGTTTCGGCCTTTAGAACTTCATCAGACTAAATTTGTTATATGAGGTATAACTACACATGTGCACAAATGAGGGATGCTGGGAATTTTAATTTTTTTTTTTTTTAATTAAGCTGATTTCATTTAGATTCTTTTCTTTTTTTTATTGCTTTTGTTATTTGATATCCTTCATTGTAATGGTAGAAATTCTTCCAGGAATGGTATATGTTATGTAGAAAGAAGACCAACCTACTCTACACTAATTGTTGAATACAGGCTCATTTGTTCACGATGAATAGGATGTCTGCTCCTAGGAACAGGGATTACAAAGTTGGTCACAAGGCATATCATTGAGTCCTATGCAATGCTGCACTAAACTATGGTATTTACTATTATTGTATTATTAATCCATGCCCCTCATGTGGTTAAACCATTTCTTCATGAACCTAATAGTTATCAGACTTATATGTAGAGTTTTAAAAAGATTATTGACCAAGAATGTAATAATTAAAATATAAACTCATTGAGTAAAAACAATGTTTAAGAGAGACATGTACAATTAGTTAAATAGCACAACAAACTTGATTGTCTAGCCTAGGTTGGTAACCAGTCTAAGAGAAGAACACCTCTGCATTCAAATGCAATTGAAAATCACTCCACAATCTTTTCCATGAATAATCCTGACAAAGCAAATTTTGCAGATCTGAAATAGGAGCTGTGGAGAGCCATAATTGCCTATATCTTGAATGGACAGAGAACTTAAGCAGGAAATGTCCAAGTGATAGATATAAAGAATTTGGTCTATTTGTTGGCAGGGGTGGTTTTAAGAAATTATTTTTTTTCTATGGCTCAATCCTTATTGTAACAAAGCTCTCACTTGCATTTCCTATTCCGTTTTACTCATACGACTTAGCATGGGATATGTGTAAAGATGACAAGTTAATTTCCTCCTCTTTATTGGGATGCTTGCTAAGTACTTTCTTTCCTGAACATATCGGTTGCTGCCATTGTCAATTACGAATTGGATGTGAATACAAGTCACGCTTCGTGTAATCTTATTTTGTGTATTTAACCAAACAGGAGAAAACCTAGAATGACAAAGTGAAACATGTCACAAAATTAATTTAACAATTATTATAAATTTTAGATGAAAAGTAAATGTAATTTTAATTTCACTCAAACATGAGAATTAATCATTCAATGAAGATAACTTGTTGCTTAATTGTCAGATATATAACTCCAAAGATATATATTTACCAAGATGGTAAGCCACCCATATATATATATATATATATATATATATATATATTTATTTTAAGACATGTTTTATGTTTATACATTCTTTATATAGATAAAATATTTAAGTAAATGCTCTGCTTATGATAATGTTTATTATAAGCAGAGCGTTTACTTAAATATTTGTATCTATAAAAAGAACATATAAACATAAAAAATGTCTTAAAATCATTGTTGGACTTTGTCCATTTCATAATGTGTGGCGTCATTTGTTTACATTTGGATACACATCGAGTAGATATGAATGTACGTGAGAGAATCATGGAAGATTGGAGTTTAAAAACAGTAAAATTGACCTTGCTAACCGAACGATCCTCTGTGGCTCAATTGGTAGAAGCACGTCAGGCTATATGATGGTTTTCTATAGGATACAGGTTCGATTCCTGTTGGAGGACAAATATTTTCTATGAGAATTTCTCAGACATTCAGGCCGGTAAATGTTGTTAATACTGTTTATTATAAACAGAGAATTTACTTGAATATTTGTATCTATAAAAAAGAATGTATAAACATAAAAAATGTCTTAAAAAATAATGTCCGGTCTTTGTCCATTTCATAATGTGATATATATATATATATATATATATATATATATATACTAACAGCATATTTTATGTTGCCCGTGCTTGATTCAAAAAATCATACGACTCCTACAGCAATTGCTATCACTTCTTAAAATATTTTTGCCCTTCCTTGCCTTTAAAGGAGTGTCCTTTGCCATGCTGATGTTGCTACATGCCTTACTCTTTTGCCTATTTCACACTGCAAATTTTTTTCTAAGCTCTGTACTAAACATTAAATCTGTTACGAAAAAAAAGAACTAAACAAAATGAACACAAAACAATCAGCTTTAAAAAGGACTCATGACTGGAAAAAAACGAATGAAAAAAGAATGTTAACAACAAATACTTTTTCACACTCAACCCAGTTCTCAAGTGTGGAATTAGAATCAACGTTGAGTTTAAACAAGCGAATGAGCCAATTGGAGTAAAAGTGCCATGCAGATTTAAATTTTCCCACTTGTGACGAATGCAGCTATCAATTTTTTTGCATGCTAGCGTGCTAGTTAACATTCATGTCAGTCAGCTGTTGGCTCTCATGCTGGCCAGTAGAATCTTCCCACTATTCGTGGCAGCCAGCTATAGGCTCTCACTCTGGCCAGTAGAAAATGGCTGCAAACTACATGAAAACTGCCATGTAAGCATGAAAAAATTGATTATTTTCACTATTGATGGGAGTTGGGAAATGCAAAGTCAGTCTTGGCCTTCCCGCTAACTTGGAGCATGTGCATGTAAATTTTGGTGCAAATCTGTTGAAAATTGCCATGCTGATGTTGCTACATGCCTTACTTCTTGCCTATTTCACACTGCAAATTTTTTCTAAGCTCTGTACTAAACATTAAATCTGTTACGAAAAAAGAACTAAACAAAATGAACACAAAACAATCAGCTTTAAAAAAGGACTCATAACTGGAAAAAAACGAATGAAAAAAGAATGTTAACAACAAATACTTTTTCACACTCAACCCAGTTCTGTGGAATTAGAATCAACGTTGAGTTTAAACAAGCGAATGAGCCAATTGGAGTAAAGTGCCATGCAGATTTAAATTTTTCCCACTTGTGACGAATGCAGCTATCAATTTTTTTTGCGTGCTAGCGTGCTAGTTAACATTCATGTCAGTCAGCTGTTGGCTCTCATGCTGGCCAGTAGAATCTTCCTGCCTATTCGTGGCAGCCAGCTATAGGCTCTCACTCTGGCCAGTAGAAAATGGCTGCAAACTATATGAAAACTGCCATAGAAGCATGAAAAAATTGATTATTTTCACTATTGATGGGAGTTGGGAAATGCAAAGTCAGTCTTAGCCTTCCCGCTAACTTGGAGCATGTGTATGTAAATTTTGGTGCAAATCTGTTGAAAATTGCGGCCATGCATTCATTACACACACACATCCTGCCTTATATATATATATATATATATATATATATATATATATATATATATATATTTGTATGTGTTGTGTGTGAATAAAGACAAAAGGAATTTGTACGATTAATTTTGTTTTTTTTTTTTTTGCCTTATTAACCTTTTTGCAATTTATTTAAAGCCAAAAAATATTTTTACATTGTAAGAATTTTTGGGAGATAATGATTTTTTACTGATACAAGTTCTACTAATTAACTCATAGCTGGAGGGAGAAGACGTAGATTCATGCCTTTCTCAAGAGTATTTGTGAATATAACTAACCTAACTGAAATTGGAACTTTGGTCTCTGATTAACAATTTGGAGCCATTATCAATTACACCACCCACACATCCAAGCTTGCAGCACATGGTATTCCCAAGTTGTCCCTCATCTGGTTAGTGAACAAGCTCAACATTAACCAATGATCATACAAGAACAAATGTTCTAACATGATATGGCTGTAACCTATATATATATATATATATATATATATATATATATATATATATATATATATATATATATGCATGTTTCATTAAATAATATAGACAAGTTTTGTCTATTTATTTTAAGTAAGTTCCTTTTATATTTTCTGATAATCTTAATAACATTATCATTGAAAGGCGAAAGGAAATCACCATATTGATACATGTTTAAATCCAATCTAAGCTTTCAGCTTACATAAGCCATTATCAAAGATGACAATTACTTTTCAATATATCAACCAATACAGACTATCATTATTGTTTCGTCCGATGATGACAAAATCAAGACATTGATTGAGAATAACCCACATTACAGAATGTGGGAATTGGTAGAAGCACTAAATTTATCAAAATCCACCATCCATGAGCACTTAGTGAAGCTTGGGTACTCAAATTGCTACAATGTTTGTATATCACATGATCTTAGTGAAAAGTATCTTTTGGATCACATTTCATATATGTATTTGCAGTATAAACGCAATGAAAATGCACTCTTTTTGAAGCAAATTGCAACGGGTGATGAATGGATCGTTTACAACAATGTTCAGCAAAAAAGATCCGGAGGTAAGCAATACGAGCCAACTTTAGTTACCTCAAAAGTAGGTCTTCCTTCTAAGAAAGACATGTTGTGCATCTTGTGGGATTGGAAAGGAATCCTGTACTATGAGCATCTGCCAAGTAACCAATCAATTGATTCTGAAAAGTACTGCTTGCAACTGGATAAATTAAATTCAAGAAAAGTGCCCAGAATTGGCAAACAGGAAAGGTATATTCCATCAGGATAATGCCAGACCTCATGTTTCTTTAGTGACCCAGCAAAAATTGTTGCAACTTGGCTGGAATGTGTTACCCCACCTGCCATATTCACTAGACATTGCTCTTTGGGATTTTCATTTATTCAGCTCCTTGCAAAAAAATCTCAATGGTAAAAAATTTATTTTTTGGATGACATAAAAAACACCTTAATGAGTTTTTTGCTGAGAAACCACCGACATTCTGGGAAGATGGAATCTTTAAATTGAAGGAAAAATGGAGAAAGGTTGTGCAACAAAATGGTTCATAGTTTAGTTGAATAAAGATTTAATAGCATAATTTTGTTTTAATTTCCCTTCAAAATAGGCATGAACTTTCTGGACAACTCTGTATTTTTAAATTCTAAGAATTTTATTTGTTTTAAGATAATAATGGTTTAGTAATACAAGGCTTATTAATTAATTCACTACTGGTGGAAGAAAGGGTGGATTTATACCTAATCAGAATTTGATAAAAAAATTTTTAAAAAAAGGCAAGAAATTAAATGGATATAAAGTGTGGGATCAATTCTCTATTACAATCAATATATAAATTGATCCTTTACTTTGTGATCACAGTAGTTTTTATGCATTTATATTCCAGAGAATGTAAATAAATCTAAAAGACATGCATGTGTAGCAAATCAGTATTTCATTGATTCATTTTTCTATGGCTTATCAACAACCAAGAAATTATAATGTGGATATAAAGTGGGGGATCAATGCTGTATTAAAATTGATATTAGAACTGATCCCTCTCTTTGTGCTCACGGTAGTTGCAATACATTTATATTCCAGAGAATGTAAATTAACCTAAAAGACATGCCTGTGTAGCTAATCAGTATTTCATTGACTGATTCATTTTCTACAGCTTATCAACCCTTTGCAGGTTATTTAAACCAGAAAATATTTTTAGTTTCTAAGAATTTGGTTGGGAGATAAAGTTTTAGTGATACAATTCTTAATAATTAATCCATAACTAGGAGATAGAAGAAGTGGATTCAAACCTTTCCTTTGTATGTAATTGAATATAATGAACCCAACTGGAATTAGAACTCGGCTTAAGAATTCTGAGTCATTATCAATTACACCACTTATGTATCCAATCTTACAGCACCTGGTATTCCCAAGTGGTCACCCATTTAAGTACTGACTAGGCTGGATGTTTCTTAACTTGAGTGATCGTACAAGAACCAGTGTTTTAATGTGATATGGCCATAAGCCCAGTACACCAGCTTCACATTAAAGCTTACAGCACCTGGTATTCCTAAGTGGTCACCCATCTAGATACTGACCAGGCTCAATGTTGCTTAACTTTGGTTATCGTACAGGCACCAATGGTTCAGTGTGACATAGCTGTAAGCCCCAAAATTTAATAAAAATATTATTACCTTCTCAAGAAATGATGAAAATATTATCAGTTTCAAGTGGTCACCCATTTTGGTACTGACTAGGCTGGATGTTTCTTAACTTGTGTGATCATACAAGAACCAGTGTTTTAATGTGATATGGCAATAAGCCCAGTACACCAGCTTCACAACCAAACTTACTGCACCTGGTATTCTCAAGTGGTTGCCCATCTAGGTACTGACTAGGCTTGATGTTGCTTAACTTTGATGATTGTACAGGAATCAATGTTTTAATGTTACATAACCATAACCCCAAAATTTGATAAAAAGAAGTGATGAAAATATAAATTTCTAATAACTGATAAAAATATTATGTATAAGAGGACCAACAGTAACATTAATATTATGACCCTCTAAAGAAGGTATAAAAATATTAATATTATGACCCTCTAAAGAAGGTATAAAAATATTAATATTATGACCCTAAAGAAGCTATAAAAAATATTAATATTATGACCCTAAAGAAGCTATAAAAAATATTAGCTTCTTACAAAATAAAAATATTTGATTACTTTTAGAATGATGAGAATATTATTTTTGATGTTTTGTTCATTGTATTCTTTGGCTTTCTAAAAGTGTCTGAACAAATAAAAGTTCTTCTCAAGGAATGATAAATATTTAATTATTACTTTCCGGACAAGTAATAAAATTATTATAACACTATTTCCTTCATAAGTAATGATAAATATGTCATTGTCCTATCAAGAAATGATGAAATTATTGTCTCCAGAAGAACTAATAACAATCTTGAATCCCAAGAATTGATAACAATATTCTTCCCTCCACAAGAATTGATATGTACATTAGTATTAATTACATTATCTGATAAAATTATTATTACTTCTGAGAGAACTGCTAAAACGTTTCAAAAACTGATAGATATTATTACTATCTCAAGAACTAATAATAATAAAAATGATTAATGCTTTCTCAATAAGAGATAATATTATTACTACTGCTTCAAGACTGATAAAAATGTTATTACCTGCTCAAAAAGGGTCTGTAATGTAATCGATCCTGACCTGGCATCTTGACTTCAGTCACTTTCTCACGAATGGGAGTTGGTTTCTCTCTGTTTTTTTTTTTTTTTCTACAAATATTTTCATGGCAACAGTTTTTGCTTAGTAACTACATGAATTTAAGCATGCTACAAAAGCTCCAACAGAAGCTAGTGAAAGAAAGCAAGAAGAAAGGACTAAGCATGAAATACAAGGACGCAGAATGCATGGTTATCAACAAAAGGGTGAGTCCAAAATACAAATTACATGTCAGGGATACTAAACTCAAGTTACAGAAATTTAAATGTCTGGGAAGTGTTCTAACAGAGGATGGAAAGTGCGACACAGATCTGAAGACATATTGGGATGGCCAAAAATACATACCAAAAGCTAAGCAGAGTAGTAATAGACAAAACAAATTTGTTAGAAACAAAGAAAAAAGTTTTAAACTGTTACATAATATCTGTCCTCCTGTATGGGAGTGAATGCTGGACCATCTCCTCAGAGATGGAGAAGAAACTTGAAGCAACAGAAATGTGGTTCTACAGAAAGATGCTGAGGATACTATAGACTGGACATGTGAGCAACAACAAGGTTTTGGAGAGAATAAAAACAAAAAGAAACCTATTTAACATCAGGAAGAGACAGTTGAAATTTTTAGGGCACATAATGAGGAAGGAGGGCTTGGAAAATCTGATACTCACAAGACAGATTGAGGGGAAAGAGGGATAGTAAAGCATACTTAATGGGCTTGAGCAAATGGATGGCAGAACAGTGTTTGAGAGAAAGAACTAAAAGACAAAGCTTACTAAGTGCTAGAAGGGATGGGAAGATGTGGAGGTCCATGATCGTCTACATCCTGAAGGGACATGTCACATGAAAGAAGAACTAGATTGACAAGTAGGTTTCTTGCTAGATTCAACCCCCACTTCTATTCTAACAGTTTCTTTTCTCACACTTCTCACCTGTGGAATGATCTTCCAATTTCTTGCTTCCCTACTACCTACAATCTTTGAAATTTTAAATGTAATGTTAGTTGGTATCTTTTGTCTTCTTGAAGCTTATTCCTTTATTTTCCTTTGCTCTCTTCTCCTCTCTAAAGTCTTCTTTTTGACTCCCTGTAACTCTCTGCGTCCTATTGGTGTTATGGCCTTGTTTGGGGTGAAATGATTTTAAAGAAAAAAAGTGAATAAAATTGTGACATATTTAGAAGAAATTTCTGTTTGAAATATTAATTTCACAAGAATTGATAAATATATTATTATTACCTTTTCAGTAAGAGATAAAAATGTTGTAATCTTCTCAAAGACTATAAAAGAACAGGAATTGAGAGAATAGAAGATGACGATTGACATTGCCTTAATGGTTTAGATAAGATCAAACTTGACTGGGAAGCAAGAGGTCAGAAGAGAGTTCCACAAGCCATAAGTATGAGAGAAGAAACAGCATAGATCTTATAGTTACATCTATCAATTTCAACTGTAAAACTGAAACCTAGTTGCCAATCCAGTATTGTGCTTAAATTTGTAAAGCCGAGTTATCAAAGAAGAAAGCTTATCAGAACAATTATGAAAATATTTATAGAACACACACACACACACACACATATATACACCGTACCTATGAACACTAATGGGTATGTCCCAATCCTCATAAAGACATTGGACACTATTGTAAGTGGAGGTAATATGCTGTCTAAGTAGTCCACTACTAGCAGTGGTTTACCTGCTTCACACCGCTGACAAGTATTGTATTTTGTTGATGTTATAAAGATTACCATTTCATTTCCAACCTCTGTTTTGGTTATTCTTCATTCAGTAACCCTTCCTAGATTACAACAATAATATATATATATATATATATATATATATATATATATATTACTTAAGAAGTGACAAAAATATTAGGTTAATATTATTGTCTTAGGAATTTATAAATATATCATCTTCTCAAGAACTGATGATTAACTTTTCAAGACTTGATAAAATAAAATTATTTTACTCTACAACTGATAAAAATGTTACCTGCTCAAGAAGTTACTATAAAAATAGTATTCCTTGCTCAAAAACTGATTCTCATTAAAAAAATATATGACTAGTAACTGTTATTAGTTTACCTGAGTAAGTCAAAATGTCGCCAGGTGTTTTTGATGAATACATTCTTTGTTAACAACTTTTCATATAGTTCTATAATGACAATGGAATAATTGATTATGCAGGTAATTAGTTCTATGAATAATGAATTTATTGTACATATCTAATAAATACTAATTTGATGACAACTGCATTTCTTAAGATTGACCAACACACTGAAAGAGATGAATATTGCAGCCATGTGGCATTTGTGATGTATACTAATTTCAAATAACAATTGGTTTTTGTTTTACTAGTTTAACACTTTCTGTCTATTCTATTATTAATATCAAGACAACATCTATTAAAATGAAATGTTGGTGTTATTTTCATTTTTGTGTAGTTTAGATGACAATTTATCTATTGTACGCTGTGTGTATGTGCGGGTATATACTCACACACATACACACTCTTACAAATATATAGAGATATACACACACACACACACACACACACACACATACATGCACATGCACACATATATACACACATGCACATATGCATATTCTCACAGATATATGTGCACACACACACATTCTCACAAATTACACACACACATACACACACACACACACACACACACACATATATATATATATATATATATATATATATACACACATATATATATATATATAGATATATATATATATATATATATATATAAACACACACACAAATATCTATACACAGATATATATATATATATATATATATATATATATATATATATATATATATATATGCACACAAACACACACATATATAATGGGGATGCAACTTCAGACCCTTCCTGGAAGCACATTCTCTTTATTAAGACTCTCAAGTCTACAGACCAGTAGAACTAAATTTGTACTGTTTAAAAATGTAGGGCTATTGATTCAAGCACATGTATCCACTAAAACCTGAGCATAATATGGGCTTCAAGGGATCCTAACATGAGAATGAGAGCAATTTTTTTTTAGAGGGTAATTGAATCTTGCTGGTTTCATGAATGAGTTGTTTAAAGTCCACAATGCCTGACATTTGAATTCTGCTGGAAGGTACATTTTCTTTTGTAAGACTTTTGAATGCATTGGCTGATAAACTTCATTTTATACTATTAAAAAAAAAAAAAAATGAAATAAACTAATGTATACTCAAACATGTTTATTCACTAAATATAATGTTTAAAGTAATAGGAAATAATATCAGATTAAAAGAAATATCCATTAATTCCTTTTATATATATATATATGTGTGTGTAAAAATATATAGAAAATAGGAAAGAACTTGTTAGGTAAATAATCCAAAGTTCTTTAGTATTTTTGTTATTATTTTTAAAAAATAGTGCTCAGTACAAAAGTAGAGCATAAATATAATTATTTATTTAAAAATATGATTCCAACTCGCGACATAAAAGTTCTCATGTTTCAAAACAAGAGCCAAAAACTTCAATATAATTATTTGAATTAAATTGAATTAAAGTACTAAGCTCTGTTCCATCTTCAAGCAAAATTTTTTTTGGAATAAGTTATTCCTGAAATTTACTCGTTTTATAAGCATATTCATTATTGCAATTAAAATTACTATGGTAACAGCTAGAGCAATAGTTTAAAGAAAAGGGGCGTAAGGGTTAATTTTGCTTGAAGATGGAATGAAGTTTTTGGCTCTTGTTTTGAAACATGAGAACTCTTATGAATCATATTTTTGGAAATAATTATATATTTTAAATAAATAATATATATATATATATATATATATATATATATATATATATATATATACTTATCAGAGGTCAACTTCGTTTTGTGATTCCTCATTCATCAA